GAATTACTTTGCTCAAATAGTGAGGAAACTGAGAAACTCAAGGTCCCACAGGCAGCAAAGTCAGGGAGAAAAGGGGCTCTTTCTGGGGCTCCATGGGGCCCCCACGACCAGTAGGGAGTCAAAGCAAGCGACCCCCCTCCGCCGCCGAAGCTGACTTTCTCCCCTGCACGGTGTCCATTCGCCTGGCCTGTAGGCGGAGCACAGTGTGGCTCTCGGGACACAAGAGCGCGCTGTGGGCCGCAGTGCACAACAGGGCTTTGTCCCGGTCTCCGGGGGAACCCTCCCAGTGCGGGCAGCAGGGGCGAGGCTGTGCTGAGCACTGAGTCAGAACCAAGCTCCTGTCCCAGTTTTCATAGTGCTGGCCCTGGCGACCCACGTAGGCATCTCGCTGTGCTTTTCAGAGCAGATTGTGAAATGTTTAGTCTTCAGAGTGGAAATGTTTGTTGACTGCTAAAAATGCTGCTATGCTCATGACAGAAAAACACAAAGGAATACATACAGCAGGTACCAGAAAGAACAGAGGGTGTGTGAGAAATCAAGTAATGTTAGTTACGACCTGTGCCAGCCAGAGTTCTTTCTTCCCACCTCGACACACCTGAAACACAGCTCAAGTCTTGTTGGAAATGTCCTTTTCGTTTGAGATGCAGAAAGAAATTAAAGAGGCATTGCATTGTGTGTGTGCATGCCTGTATATTTACATGTATACATGTACTATGCCACCCACCATAGGTAAGTAATAGTATCAACTCCATGTACAAAATTAGATCAATGGCATGTGAGAATAAATCTGTAGAATTTTTTCCTAAGTTTTCATTAGTTTAGTGAACTAAAATTTCCCCAGAGCATGGTGGTGGCCCATGCTGGTAATCCCAGCACTTTAAAGGCTAAGGCAGGAGGATTGCCTTTTTGAGGCCAGTCTGGAGTACATAGTAAGTTCGAGACCAGCCTAGACTACACAGTGAGACCCTGTGCCAGAAATTATTATTTTTTTCTCCAAATCTCTCAGTTGTTTTCAGTACTTGGTTTGGCTGAATAAGGCTGCAAACAAGATTTATATGTTGTCTTTCTTTCTTTCTCTTTGTCTTTTTTGAGGCAAGTTTTCACTATTCAGTTCAAGATGGCCTATAACTCACTTTGTAGTCCAGATTGGCTTCAGACTTGCAGTAATCCTCCTGCCTCAGCCTCCCAAGTGTTGGGATCACAGGTGTGGTGTGCACCCCCATGCCTGGTTATATATTATATTTCATTGATATCATTTAAGTCTTCTAACTTATGGGCTTCTCCAGTGATTTTACGATGGCTTGCTACTTGTTGAGACTGGGTTATTTGCCTTTCAGTTTCTTACATTGTGGATTTTATTGATTGTATCCTAAATGTTACACACATTCTTCCTTGCTTGCCCAGAATATGTAAGGTCCCATGTTCCATCCCTAGTATGGCCCAAACCCCACCTTCTTCTGTTCAAGTTGTTTTATAAAATGTCCTTGAACCCACATGATGGATGGGACCTGGTTTCCTTTTTGGGCAAGAGTGTATCTATCACTTTTGGAGCTGTGTATTTCTGTCAGCTAGCACACGCTTCGTGAGCTTTGATGTGATACTAGTGAGCATTTTCTGATGATGATTTCATTAAGGTTTTATAAAGCGCTGGTATTTATCGGCTGAACTCGCTTCCTCATTGACTATTTAATTCACCTTGGATAAACTTTGTACACATCTTGGGCTCAGCCTAGGAAGCGGAGCCTAGAGATGAAGGCTTTGCTTGGTCCTAGGGAGGTGAGAGATGGGGAAGCAGGAGCATCACTCGGAGGGAGTCTCCCTGCAGAGCCTGCTCGGCTTAGGGCAGCTCCTGGGTTGCTCCTCTGTGACTAGGGGAGGAGCCAAACAGAATGAGTCTGGGGTGGTTCCACTGGCGGGGAGAGGAGGGCATTCCTTTCTCAGCTCCCATCACCCACTGGTCAGAGGTTGGACCATGAAACATTAACTTCCCCACAGGCAGGGTGATGTGCACAGATAACGTGTCCATCCATGGAGCCCCATAGTCTCACTGACAGAGAAACCCTGGGGTGGGAGCTAAGACAGCTGGTCCTGCCCAAAGCTGGCCAGAGTCCATCTAGAACTTACTGCTGCAGCAGGTACTGGAGTAAGAGACAGGAGAGGCTGACAGGAAGGATACAAAAGAAGTGTGAGATTCCATCTAGCAAAGGCAAGGAAAAAGTGCAGCTCTTACCCTTCCTCCTTTCTTTTTTTTTTTTTTTTTTGGACACAGGGTTTCACTATGCAGTGCAGGCTGGTCTTGAGCTCACTTTGTAGTGCAGGCTGGCCTCCAACTCTCAGTGATTCTCCTGTTTTAGCCACCACGCCCAGCAAGAAATACTTTTTATTTGTGTGTGGTGCTGGGGATCAAACCCAGGGCCTTGTGCATGCAAGGCAAGAGCTCTACCATTGAGGCACCTCCCCAGCCACTTTGTTTACTGTTTGTGAGCTTTCTATGCAATGAATTACTTCTATTGCATTTCCAAAATTGACCAATTAAGAGTGAGTTTTTAAGAAAAGTCACAATTATGATTTATGAATATATAATATTAGGTATGTTTCAATATCTAATATATAATTATCATTATTATTATTATTATTGGTCCTGGGGGTTTGAACTCATGACCTTGTGTTTGCCAAGCAGGCATTTACATCACTGAGCTAAACCCCCAGCCCATCATTATTATGTTAAGACATGGCTTTATTATGTAGTTCAGGCTCACCTTGAATTCACTATGTAGCCCAGTGTGGTCTTAAAGCTAGTTGGTTCCAGATTCCCCTGATGTTTACCTATTGATTTCTGATAGTATTCTTGCTTTCTGAAATTACATAGTATTCCAGGCTTCTGGTAGGTATTTCTTGTTTTAGACCTAAAATGAACCATTTCTCCAAGGCCTGATTCCTTTAAAAGGAAAACTATCTCTGACTGGTATTTAGCTCAGCGGTGTAAGCCCCTGCCTGGCAAGTGTGAGGTCATCAGTTCCATCACCAGTGCCAAAAAAAAAGAAAAACCATCTTTAGAGACTAGAAACTACAGAGTGGGACATAGGAATGCTTATTCTTACCAGTTTGGTCAACATTTTAATGTTGACCAAAGTTTTCAATGAACAGAACTTAAGTGGTTGTAAAAAGAGAAGTATATCATGAGTTGCAAATAATTCCAATTCAATTTTGATATTGCCTAAATTCTTCGAATATCTATCACTTTTATACTGAAAAAATGTTAATTCTAGGATATAGACATAATTACCTCTAACATGATTACTGAAGAACATTTTTTTGGTCTTTGTCCTTAGTTATATCCTTAGGAAATGCAGAATCAACAATTAAGTTTATAGAGTCAACAGAATTAATTTACTTTTGTATGACTAAGCCACTTAACTTGATACCTACATTTACCTGTTGGATTTTTACTTTTGATTATTAAATGTAACACACAAACTGGGTGTAGTGGCACCTGTAATCCCAACAGTTGAGAAGCTGAGGCAGGAGGATCCCTTCAGGCTCAAGGCCAGCCTAAACTACACAGTGAGACCCTGTCTCAAAAGACAAAAATAATAATAAAACACATCACTCCAAAGTCGAATCTATAAAACAATATTTATTCAACAAAGTCTTTTTATCCTTGTTTCTTTCATCCTGTTCTCTCTTCCCTTGTAAACTACCATTTTCCTTTTCTATATAAAACCTTTCTTAAAATTATACTAGGCGCAATCTCCCTCTTAAGTAACTTGCTGACTGGTATCCCCAAAGTCTGCCTCAAAACAACCTGCGATTTTGGAAAGTACTTTGTTCCTTCTACTCTTTCCGGGAAAGGTCTGTGTGGGAAGAAAGGAGGGCTCTGGCACTCCTGGTATCCTTGGCAGAATCATCTCCCTGCTAACCCTGCTTAGCGCTGAGCCTACAGCCTTGGGGCTGAGCTCCATCTTCACCCCTGCACCCGTCAAAGAGTTCATATTTTGAGACAGGGTCTCACAATTGCCCAGGTTGGGCTTGAAATTGTGATCCTCTTGCCTGGGTCTCCCAGAGTGCTGGGACTAGAGACGCACAGAACTTAAATGTTCACCATTCTGAAGGGTACCTTTAGTGACAGGAAGTACATCATCCTCACTTGCCGGCCATCGCCACTGTCATCTTCAGAGCCTTTTTTCATCATCCCAAAATGAAGCTCTGGAACCGTTACCCAGGGACTCCCCGGGGTCTTGCCAGGCTTTTTAACAGACTGGGCTGAGCGGCTGGGCGCACTTGCGGGCCAGGTGCCGCCCAGCGCGCTGTGCACCTCCCCTCCCGGTGCGCTGTGACTAAGCAGGCTTTCTGTTTACAGCTTCGCGCTCACCTTTGTCCCAGGGCAGAAACCGGTATTTCCGGTTTGAGGTCTTAGACCCAGCGATCCTGGTGAAGGGCGAGGGTTGGCGGGGGAGGGGAGCAGGAACTGATCATAAAACTTTTCATCCAAAGCATGAACTGTTTCTCCAGCTTCCTTAGAGAAAAAGAACAACCACATCATCACCAAACGCCCACTGCTAAGGGTCCAGAACCGCCTGTGCCATGATCTGTGAAGGGTGGCAGAGCTGACCCTGTCCTTGCGCACAGCCCTGGACGCGATCGCAGAGCAGACCTGGGCGAGCTCCTCCGGGTCGTGGAGGCCCAGCTGGTTTTGCAGGGCTGGGAAGAGCAGAGGAGCGCGCGCGTGGCCCCTGGCCACAAGGTCGCCTTCCTGGCCGCAGTCCCTACCCCACCGCTGGGTGGCTCCCTCTCTGTCTCTCCCAGCCCCGCAGAAGCGACCTGGGCTCGGCGCCTGGCACCCTCCGGATCTCAAGGAAGCAAGTGATAGTCTCGAACCACCCCTTCCTTTCTGGGCCGTGGCTCCGGGCTTGCCACCGCCCAGCTACCCCTGCCCCCACTCCAGTTACAAGTACACTATTCTTTCTTTCTCCCAAACCTCCAAACAGGAAATAGCCTGAGCCACAATACTGCACAGGAGCGCCGGGGCAGCCTCCCTGCTCCCGCCCCGGCCAGGCGCCGCCAGCGAGGCGCAGGGTGCGCAGGGGACACCCGGGCCGGGCCGGCCGCCTTCACCCTACGAGGGACCTCTCCAGCCACCACCGCCACTCATTTCCAGGCGAGTAATCCCCGGCCCAAGAGACAGTCTCAGGGCTTCGAGAGTGGGGAGGGGAGCCGCCGGAGGCGTCCCCAAGGTCCCTTTGAGCGCAGCTCGCCTTTGCTATTTGCGGGGTTCAGGATTGCTCAGGTGCTCTAGATGGGTCGTGGTGAGCCGCAGCGTGGGTAGACGCGAGTGGATTATCATCTGGATCCCCTGCTGGACTTTGTGACCCCTTCTCTCTTCCTTTTGCTCCTGGGGGCCGACAGCAGGGCCTGCGGGGATTCTTTTAGGGACTCGTCCCAGGGGAGTTTGCGCGCGCACCTGGGGCACCTACAGGTGCCCTGCACCGCCTGCCCCAGGGAGGCTGTTTCACTTGCTGCTGAACTTTTATTTAACCAGATCGAAAAGGCCTTAGAGTTGCCGAGTGTCCAGGGTGAACGAAGATAGAGGGCGGTGCTGGTTAGTGGGGCGCAGGTGGGGGCTCCCCCGGCCGCCCCTCCCGCCCGCCTGGAGGTTCTCGCAGGCCCACGCGCATCGCATGGCTGGGATCTCTGCCCTCAGTGCTCTAGAGCCTTGGGGAAAGATCTTTAAACGTTTACTTTTGTGCCTTCGGACCCATCTGTAAGGAGTGGCCGAGGTGTCCACGTTATGGCCTTGTTAGCTTTTCGGGGCAGCACCGAGGTTCTTGCATAGGGAACTCAGTGGAGCCGAGCTGGCGATCTCGCGGGGCGGAAGGCGGCCACCGAATGCCGGGCATTCTTCGCGCTGGAGAGGGGTGTTTTCCACCCTGCGTTGCAGTTTGCAGGAGGCCGCTCTGCGCCGGGCCCACAGGTGGGCAGGCACTGGCGGTTTCTCGGGCATCTTTACCACCAGCGCTTGGTAGGTTAATGAATTCTTCAAGGGACCGGTCTGCAGGTGCGTGGTGTTCTCCGCGGTTTCTGCGATGGGGAACCTGCTGAATCGCTGCCCCTAGGGGACCTGTTAGAAAGCGCTGTCCTGTCGGGTTTCAGAATGGAGGTTTCTGTCCTCCCGTCCCCAGCCTGTCGTTCATGTTTTGCCCTCGGCGACAAACACGCCAGAGCCTCCTGGATTACAGCGCCTCCACCCCAAGGTGATTGGCCTCTTATTAAGATTTTGGAACTTTGATAACAGTTTAGCCTGCAGGTTTTTATTTCTGAGCGCTAGTGATTATGGTAAAGATACAGAACATGAAATGTGCCGTTTTAAATGTACATTTTGGGGCATTAAGTACATTAATCGTGTACACGGCTACTAATTTTTTAAAACAATTTAAAAATAATTTTTCAATCACCACTAGCTCCACAGAAGCTAAACAGAAGCTGTCATCCTAAACAGAAGCTGTCGTTTCTCTCTTCTCCCTAGACCCCTGCACTTCTGGATTCTTTTAACATTTTTTGCTAGGGAACACGGTTGAATAGGAGTTTGGAGTGCAAGTGGAATCAGAGGCAGGATACAAAGAGACATTTGAGAATTCCTGAGAGGCTGGGGTTCTCAGAGGGCTTGGGCTCTTTCTTCCTTTCTTTTTTGTCTCCCTTCCTTCCTTTCTTCTTTTTTCTTTTTTTAGGTACTGAGGATTGACCTCAGGACCTTTACACTGAGCTATAACCCCAGACCTTTTTTCTTTTTTGAGACAAAGTCCTTGAATCCCCAAATTGCCCCGGCTAGGTGGGACTGGTGATCCTGTTGTATCAGCTCGCAGAGTGCTGGGATCCCAGGGTTTACTGCACTGTCCACACCCTCCTGACCTGGAGCTCTTTTACGGCAAATAGACAATCTTAGCCCCACAAAGGCTTCCTTGTGTTTTTGTGCTTGTATGCCCCGGTACTAGCCAGGCCGAGGCGCAAGAATCTCAAGTTTTGTTTTGTAACTACATTCCAGATAAAAGTGGGGGTTTTGTTTTTATTTTTGTTTTTGGTTTTGAGACAGAGACTCACTATGTAGTTCAGGCTGGTCTTGAATTTGCTTACCTATTGAACTCCCAGTGATCCTCCTGCCTCAGCCTCCCCAGTGTTGCTACAGGAATGCGCCACCACACCTGGCTAGTTTTCTTTTTCTTAAATATTGACACAAACCGTTTCTTTTTGGGGGGTGGAGGGTGCTAGAGATGGAATTTAAGGTGTGGCATGTATGAGATAAGTGCTCTACGATTGAACTACACCCCAGTCCTCAATCTCAATCCTTTTTTTCTTTTTAAGAAGGAAATGAGGGGAAGCTGCCTCCTTAAATGGCCTCAAACTTGAGATTTGCACACCTCAGCCTGGCTAGTACTGGGGAGTACAAGTATGTGCCACCATGCCTGGCTTTCAAACTTATTTTTGCAAGTAGTTGCAGTAAACCTTGACAATAAAGGTTTATTGGAGGGGGTGTTACAGCAAGATTTAAGACAAAAAGGATTTGAAATAACTTTTCAAAATACCCCAAATGGGGCTGGGCATGGTGGTGCACACCTGTAATCCCTGCACTCAGGAGGCTGAGGCAGGAGGATTGCTGGATGTTCAGAGCCAGCCTGGGTTACATAGTGAGTTCAAGGCCATTCTGAACTACAGAATGTTCAAACGAGCAAACAAACAAACAAACAGCAACAAAAGAATGTGATTCCGGGATGGTGGGAAGACCTGCTACGTGGCAGACAGGGTCTTGATGTTCCCCAGATTTCAGTCTTTAGATCCTTGCCTTTGATTGTGTTAAGACTTTAGTCAGAATGAGGTTTTCACATTACAGAGAGGAATTATAGCTCCCTTTGATTGAAAAGTCCCTCCTCATGGTTGAAAGTCAAGTGGGAAAGGTTGGGCAGAAAATCCACCATAGACTATTCCTTTGTTCAGAGAATTTTATTTTTTTTATACTTTTTTTTTTTTTTTTTTTTTTTTTTTTTGTGGGCTGGGGATCAAACTCACAATCTTGTGCTTGCCAGGCAGACACTTATGCTGCTGAGCTAAATCCCTGGCCCCTGTTCACAGAATTTTAGTAAGGCAAAAAGGGAAGGGTTTCCCGCTTCCTAAATGTTCTCTTGTGAAATAACAGTGTAGCTCGCTATTTTATTTGCTGCACAAATGCTGTTTTGCAATCTGCACAGTGAAAAAAATTCCCCAGTGAGTGGTTTTCTAATGAGTGGCTTTATCAGCTTCACTGATGACTGGGAAGTCACTTAATGAGTTTAGTAAAAGCGGACATTCAATAACTATTGCAGACTTTGAGTCAGAGTCTTCACATCGTAATATGTAGATTTAACAACCCCTTGGGTGATTCTGATATATGATTAATTAGGTTGGGCGTCACTTGGATAAACATACGCCCACACATTGAGTGCAAGTGGAAACCAAGATGTAATTTGTGTGTGTGTGTGCGCGCGTGTGCACACTAAGGATTAAACCCAGGGCTTTATGCATGCTAAGTAACAACTCTTATCTCTGGGCTAACCCCCAGCCCTTCATGCATAGATACTGTAAAATTACTCGGAAGTTATAGGAAACTACAACTTTGATGCAAATTGAAATTCACAATACAGTCATCTTTAAAATTAGATTGTCAGTTCAAGTTTGGTAAGTTTAATCAGCTCCTCCCCCATCAACACCTTGATGTTGATAATCATTGAAATTTAGAATCCTAACAACTAGACAAGCCACTGGTCTAGATCGTATGGTACTGGACTACTTGTTTTAGTGTCAATGAACATATGTTGTGTTCCTATTTTCAGTGAGGGATTTTTCAGATTTAGTTTCAGTAAATGTTTGTAATAACCTTGAGAGTGCTGTTTACTCTCATTTTATAGAAGAGAAAATTCAAGCCACCTGGGATCTTGCTTGGGACCTTGCTTCTTTCCATATAGAATTATGGGTCCTGGCCTGCTTACTCCTCTGATCTCCTGAAAGTGTCTGTTGATTAATTCTTCACTTGAGTCTTTTGGAATATCAGGTTTGAATGCTAAGGCAAGTAAAAAGTGAGCCAACACAAGTGAATTCTGAAAGAGAAGACTCCGTGGCAAAGGGTTCTTTCCATGCGCTCTAAGACCTCTGATTATGTATCTCCTACATGGTTTGAATGTGGTGTTGGTGTATCTAGCCTGGCTCCCAGCGAAATCTGGTCTTGGACATTTTTCTTATGGAGATAGTGATAAGTGATCCTCAGAAGTGTCATCCCTGCACATAAACCTCACAGCAATACCTGCTTTTCCAAGATGCTACTCAGTGCACATGAAAGGGCACAAGATTCAGTCATGCCAGAGCTGACTCCTGCTTTGACCAGCTTATTACACCAGAGTGAATCTCATAAACTCAGAAAATTGAGAGGGATAATTATCACTCTCTAAGCCCAGGATTATAGTGAGGACTCAAGAAGCTCTTACTTGTAAAGGTGCTTGTAAACTATAAATGAAATATATACAAAAGCCATCTTTGTATATGGGAGGAATTAGTAATACAAAGGAGACAGAAAGAACCACTCATTTAACTCCCCTCTTTAATTTGCCTAACACTTTTTGGTGAACTAATTTGTTTATAATTTTCATAGTATTTAAACCAATTGAATAAAAGTTATTCCAGTGTAATTCAGCTACCATAAAAATCCATCTGTTTGTAATGTACAATTCAGTTTCCATTGGTGTATTCACAGTCGTGGAGCCATCATCCCAAAAATTTTGGAATGTTTTCAGTGCCCTGTAAACAAAAAAACCCCAAAAAGCAAAATATCCCCCCAGAATCCCCCCCAAAATAAAAAAAAAAAAAACTACAAAACCCAAAAACAAAACAAAACAAAAAAAACCAAAACTGCACTAAAATTTTTTAAAAAGGGCTAGGCTGTAGCTCAGTATGAAGGTTGTGGGTTCAGTCCCCAGTACTGGGGCAGGGGGGACTTACATCTGTAAATTCTGCTTATTAAAATGCGCAGTAAACCTTCTGTATAGCTCATTGGTGGAACATGTGCTTGGCTTGTGTGGGCCCCATAGCTTACCACCCCCTCACCACCACATATAAATAAATAAAACCTACAGTAAGATG